ACTTTGAGGAGGCAGCTCTTCCCCAGTCGCATTTTGAGTGCCTTCCAACCTGAAGGGCTCATTTTCCAGCACTATATCTGACAGTGTTTCTCTGCTATTCATAAAGTTTTCAGTGACTAAATATTAGGAAGTAGTTTGTCACTCCTTCTTCCTAGTCTGTGTTCATCTGGAAGCTCATCAGAAACCTGTCCACCATGGGTGACCCTGCTGGTATTTTAAATACCGGTGGCACAGCTTCCAGAATCATAGCAACTCAGAAGTCACCACAGTAGGACAAAGCTGACAGAGTATTTAAATATATGTCATATTAAAATAACTGCTTACCTCCACTTGATTTATTGTAGTTAAGTGTCATTGACCTGTTTCTGACTCAACAGATGCCTTGTATAGGGTTTCCAAGGAGCAGCTTGTGTGTTTGAGTTGCCGACCTCGTGGTTAACAGTTCAGTGCTTAACTTGCGGGGCCACGCCAGGATTCTACTTCGTTATATGTAGAAAATATGAACCATTGTTCAAATACAATCTCACCCACAAATGACGTGAGCCATAAGACAGATACTTGGATGGCTTAAGAAGGAGTCTTTACGAAATATCACCATAGAAAGCTTCTAAGTCCACCTTCTGACTATAACTGCTTGGAATACCTAAAATGGGGCTACAGTGTGTCTAGTGAAGGAGGTTTCCTGAGGAGCTTCTGCATTACAAAAGACTATAAGTGGAAGCCTGAACCACATCCACACCTTCAGAGATGGGAAATCTTCCTCTTAAAAGGACAAGCAGACCAGCCTGGAGCAGCTAGAAAACCAGAAGATACTTCTTGAAAGAAAGACCTACAGGAAAACTACAAAACAATAAGGGCAGTCCGACTGTTACCACAAGAATGAGCAAGTTGCTTGCCCAGGAGACATCAAGGCAGGTAGCCGGGTCCTCTCGGTGTAAATCCTCTTCCAAGGCTAAGATGCAATAGAAACACACTCTCAGACTGGCGACCATGCACGTCATCCATAAGAGGAAGTGACTGAAGAACATCAATGAAGTGGCCAGCTAACCCCTACATCATCCAGCAGAATACTGTGAACCCTGATGGAGACCTGGTGGGCCAGCAGTGAGGCAAGACCTGGGGACTCATGGGCTCAGAGTCAAGGACACAACTACAGAGGACTAGAGTGGAGAGCGAAGCGGCCAGCTGATAAGAAGAGGGCGGACAGACGCAAGAACACCCATACTTGCAGATGATACCCACTTGACCTGGCTTCAATGACTGGATGAACAGAACTCAACACGAAGAAGAAAGAAGAGGAAAAAGACATCATCTGATACAATTTGATAAACCCGACATACACCCATAAATGCAGTAGCACAAAAGAGGAAACAAATCGCTGTTGCAAGAATTATTCCCACCCCCTCCACACAAAGAGTGAACAGGGATGGGCAACTTGGACATTGGCTACCCAAAATGGGGGGAGGGATACAAAGGTAAGAAGTGACTGGCTTACAAGCTTTCAAGAGGGAACCTAGATCCAAAGGGCATGGAAGAAGGTAGAGTCTCCAGTGAATAGTATCCAGCCTGTCCAGAGAAGGGCTGATGAAATGAAATGCAGATGGATGCAATAGTGAAGAATTGTTATCAGGACTGATTGTGAAGGTTTGCAATGTAAAGGTGGACATTTCATAGCAAGGAGGGGAGTAATTAACTTTTCAGTCTAGGAGCGGAGGTCCCTGGGACCATCAATGGAGAAGAGCGGAGAGCGGGACCCCACCAAGAGAAGCAGTGAGGCCTGACATGGAGGCAGAGAAGATGAAGTGAAGAGATGGAGTATCTGGGGACTTGAGATCCAGAGAGGGAAAAGGGTTGTGTGCTGAGGACCGTGGGGGTCGGGGGCAGGCTTGCAGGGTATACGCTTCAGTTGGGTGATGATGCGTGGATGGGATGGTAACTATGGCAATGAAACGATGTATGATAGAATGAATGTAAAACTAATGTTCTCCCATGTAAACTATCACACAATTCACAATAAAACATTTATTATAAAAAAAAAGAAGGAGTCTTCTCAAAGTTAGGCATCAGGAAGCACAGATGGAGACAGACTACAGAGCCCCTGGCAAGGTTTTAGAACCTGAAACCTTGACTCCATTGTGTTTTCCATACATTCACTTTAACAGTTGGTCTCAGTGTGAAGCACTAATGCCTGATATCCCCCAAAGTCCAGTTTCCTGACCTGTAAAGCCAGTTCATATAATACCTTCTTAGGAAGTTAGGAAGTTTAAATGAAATATAGATTAGATAGGATAACACATTCTAATGCATATTATTGCAGACAATAATTGAAAACGTGTTGGTTTCTTCCTCCTTCATTTGTGAGCATGGCCCCTTTTAACTGAAATCCCTACAGAAAGTACTGTCTTGGAGTGGGCTGAGCTGGAGAACACGGGCTCTGCTACTCTGTGAACTGGGAGCTGTCAGTTGATATTAGGTCCATTGACCTTGGAATAAGGTTGGCTCTGAGCTTGAATCTGTAAATATTCTAACCAAGAATACTTTAAGGGCAATTTTACTCCATCACACAGGATCACGAAGAGTCAAAATCGACTCCATGTGCCAAGCAACAACAGTGAGAGTCTGTAAGTCAAGACATTCTATCCCCTAGCATTCTGTCTAAGAGAAAGAGCTCCATTTGTACTTTAAATAGTTACTAAAGCTCCAGGAGTGACAAAACTTCATTTCCTGAAAAACAGCTTATTACTCTGACCTGCCATTGATTCAAACTGTCTTCCTTCCTTTGTTTAAGGAAATGAAATCAAATTCACACGGAGCTGTGCTTCTAAGAGTCCGCAGTGATGTGTCTGTGTTCTACCTTCACTCGTTGTTCACTCTTCTCCAGTTCACTTCCATTTGGAAACATGATCCTAAGATGAAGCCGATCATAGAGTCTGAACAGAGGGAGTCCCTTACTGTCAGGATAGGATAGCTGCACAGTCTGGGAAGCCAAAAGATCGAAAGCATACTTCTCTCTAGCATTTTCACTTAGAAGCATTCTTTGTTTTTGGAAAAGCGTATAAAAAATAAGAAGCCATTAGGAAATGCTGGATTGGTAAGAATGAAGCAGTGAAAACACTCGTATTCATTTTCAGGGGAATGTTGTTAATACTTTTCGTTTGTTGGAACGTCATCATTTTTGCAGTCTTCATTTAATTAAACAGTTTGTGATTTTTCTTTCTGTACCTCCTTGCTCTATAGCCTGCTTTATAACTGTTTCAACCATCAAGTTTTTAGAATGTATATTGTTTAACATTGTAAATCTGGCATTATTAAACAAAGGAAGGAAGACAGACGGAATCAATGGCAGGTCAGGGTAATAAGCTGTTTTTCAGGAAATGAAGGTCTGTCACTATTAAAGCTATATGGAAACCGTTGAAAGCAGTAATGGAGCTACATCACTTAGGAAGTGGAAGGCTATCTAAATGCTTAGACAAGCACATATGGTAGCTTTTACTGTTTGAAATGAAATAGACCTGCGAAATACCTTCACTCTAAAAATGGACTAATCTACATATTTTTCTTAACAACATTTTTTTCTTTAAATTTGAACATCATGGATATTGAGATGTAAATGCAAATCTAGGTTGCTTAAAACTTAGCAGTAAGGAGATCAAGACCACACCCAGAAGCTCTGTTTCTGCCAATTATCTTTGTCTACTGTGTGGCCCCAAGAGCATGAACACCCAGCTCTGGTCATAAGCAGCATTGAAGAGAGCCACATGGGTGACTCTGTCCAGTATCTCATCGCGTAATTGGAACATGGTTCTGTTCCCACCTGCTGTGTAACTGTGGTCAGTAGTTGGCGTCTTGCTTAGTGAGGTCATCAGTTATCTCCCCGAGTTTTAAAGATCATTTCAGTTTCATCATTTCTCTATAGGATAATTTATTTCTGTGGCATCTCTGCTTTCTGCTACAAGGTGATGTTACTAAAAATTAGATGGATGTTCTTTGTTGTCTATTGGATGTCTTGCATGTATATCTAGATCAAACATGTTAAGGCTTATAGGAGTGTGTGAGTTCAGAAAATGGCCTCTGAACTCTTTGAGGGAAAAATCATGATCTATTTCATGTGATGAGTGATTTTTTTCTTTTACAAAATTTTCATTGCAACTGGCAGCCTGCTTCCCTCCCCCACTTGATTACAATGTATTTTTCAATTAAATTAAAATGCAAATAAAGACTGTATATGTTTCTGGTTATAATAGAATTCTTTTAAAAAGACTTTAAATCAGTCTGCTGTTAATATTTCATGTAGAACTGTTGGTTTTATTGTTGGGCCTGTACTGCCATGTTCCAGTGTCAAGATTACTGCAAATGCTATGAAAATTTAATCACACTACCCACATTTTATCAGTTTTCCTCCACTCTTCTCTTGAAAGTTAAAGTGGACTCCTTTCTTATGGACTTCATAAGTCATGTCTGTAATGTTGGAGAAATACCAAGTGCTAAAATGTAGAACCCTGTGTAACGGGCATCAACCTTTGAGTTATGTATAGTTTACCATTTGTATTTAAGCAACTTTTTATTATAGTGACTTAGATTCACTCTTACATTTAAATGTACCATATTTTATGTTTTATCATGGCATAAAAATCTGGAAATACACTTTAAACAACCATTTAGTGCAACCTTTATTCTAGAAATATAAATATTTTTATTAGAAACTGTGCTTAGTGTTACAGATTTCATTATAAATCTTTTAGATTTTTGTGGAGTCCTATCTCTTTGGAGTGGTGCTGTGGGATAATTCATTGGACTGTAAGATTTGTTTGAACATTAGGGTCGGCAGTTTAAATTCACCAGCCGCGCCTCAGAAACCCTATACAGGGTCACTGTTAGTTGGAACTGACTCAATGGCACTTAACAATAACAATATCTCTTTGTAAACATTTTGGTTACACATAATTGTAAAAGAGTATCTTGACAACATCTTTCTTTTCTCTTCTTTTTTTGCTTTTTAGTGATCTCAGTGAAAACCAAATTCAAGCAGTTCCAAGAAAGGCTTTCCGGGGGGCAGTTGATATTAAAAACCTGTAAGTATTTATTTTCAATGAATTGTCTAGCTTTTAAATTTTATCTTTTAATGTCAATTTATAGTAACAAAAATATCAGAAATGATGAATGTTTTATATATTTTTATGCTTATGAACGTATGATGGGAAGTATTGAATTGGTTCTACAAGCTAGCAGACAAAAAATCTCATTTAGAAATGGTGTTGAAACTGAAGTCATGATCAATTAATTCTTCAAACCTTGAGATTAGTCTTGTGTAATCTAAAGAAATCATTTGATTAATCAGTGTTTGTGCTGTATTTTCCCTTCTGTGGCTAGGTTACTTTAATAACTCCATTTTCAGTTCCACTATGTTTTGGAAATGTGGAATGTGAACCTTTTTTTTTTTACTAGAAAGGGAAGATAATATTTTCTTGTGGGAGATACCTTTTTTCAGATAACCCACCCAGATCCACAAACAAACAGAAAAAAACAAGTAACCGTCAAGTTATTTCCAAATCATGACAGCATTGGAAGACAGAGCAGAACTTCCCCAGAGAGCTTACAATGCGGTGGGCTTCTTGGGAACAGAGCTTCACGGGAACAACACTTACTAGCATCTGCCACATCTTTCTCCTGGACAGTGGTTGGTGGGTTCCACACCCTCAACCTTTTGGTTAACAGCCAACCACTTATTTTTTCACAACCATTTTCATCAAATACTGATCGTTTACGAAAGCATCCACTAAATGATGCCTGTCCGTTTGTGTAAATGTATTTCTTAATCGTCTTCATGAAGGAAGGTATATGCATCATTTCTTCTTTAAAAAAGAAGAAAACTTTCTGTATTTCTTTTCTTGTTAAATCTTTAATCAGATATTTTGTCTGCATGTTGTTGTTTTTCAGTGTCTCTAGCTCTTATGATACCTATCCGATTCAAGAGTTCAGCGACAATTGCAGATAGGTCTCTGTAAACTTTAAAATACCAGATTAGCTTTTGAAAATGATTTTTAGGTTGAATTGAGTGCTAGGACGTAAAACATAATTCTCAGCTTTTACATTAGCTTGGAATGTTGGGATAAAAGTCCTTCTCTGGTGAGATTTACCATCAGGGGCTCAATATTTCTTAGCTAGAAATAAATGGAGCGGGTTATTTTTTTTCAAAAATTAATTTGTATTCTAAATTATCCATGGTAGGCTCCAACCATATTTTTCTAGTATCCAAAGTGAGACAGATGTTTTTTCTTGTCAAAGAAGACAACTGTTTATGAAGGCACAGCTTCCAGCCTCAACATCTTCTCAGTGTAAATGGTTTGGGTCTTAAACTTGTATTTCAGAAATGTATAGATAAAGGCAGAAAAATAGAGTCATCTAAGCTGAAATGTGTGGAAGCACTGAACTCATGACCTGCAGTTTTTACGAGAACTCTCCCATTACAGAGATCCTTGTTACTTTCTTTTTATCTTTGTTAGCTAGGTTCTGGAGAAATCTTCAGGGAGTTTCAGTGTTTGCTGTTGTTGTTGTTGTGTGCCACTGAGTTGTTTTCAGCTAATAGCAACCCTGTAGAGGGTTTCCAAGACTGGAAATCTTTTGGGGAGCAGAAAGCCTCATCTTTCTTCCATGGAATATATTAGAATGTTCAAACTGCCTCGCTGTCTCTCAGACCTGCTTACAACAGTGTAGATTTCTGTGTAGAACTTGCTCAAGTTGACTGAGTTTTATTGTAAAAGTAAAGCAGTAGCTACAATTGACCATTCTTCGGGAATGCCGTTTGCAATGTTGCAGTAGTATTTCCTCTAAATCCTTAAAACAGATGGCTTTTAATCTTCTTGGTGAAGATATTCAAGGAATCCAAGTCGATATGTAGCCCTTCCTCCCATATTTAAGAATGCATTTTTTAGGGGGAAGAAATTTCTAGTAGTGATGGGATTTTCCCATTTATCTTCTTCATTTATCCTTAAAAAGTAGCATTTTAAAAATGTTGGTGATAAAAGGAAAACTGAGATGTTAGCCTGTGTGTTATAAAGAGTTCACCGATGATTTAGTGGGCTTTTAAAATATTTTCTTCATGTGTACCACTTTTCTCCAAAGCCTAGTTCTGTTGATAGGTTTGCAGTCTGATGTGTGCAGGTTTGTACTTCCCAGAATCTTTAGCTATATATTAGATTTTTAAACATGAGAATTAAGTAAAGTCCATTGAGTCTGACTTGTTACTTTTATAAAATGCATGTAATAATTGCTTCGGTATGTTGTGGGCATTAGAGAAATAAGATACATTAACTATCTTTTAAAATGGTGAAATACTATTAAAATAGTACAGTGGATTTGTGGCGCTGTGGATTAATGTGTCAGACTGCAAAGTCATCTAAACTGCAAGGTCAGTGGTTCAAGCTCACCAGCTGCTCCTTGGAAACCCTATACAGGGTCGCTAGGGGTTGGAATCGACTCGACAACACTTAACAACAACATTAATTAAACAACTGCTAGAAATTAGATTTGAAAAAAAAAATAGTACTGTAGAACATAAAGAAATTTGCAACATTTAGAATGGATAAGATTATTCTATTCTGAGTCAATTAGATATAGAACTACACAATGACAACAGGGCTTTTCTTAGACAGTATTGAGTGAATTACGCAAGAATCAAATCTATGAGTAAGATATTAAATGCTGTAAGTGCTAAGACTAGAAAGCGAGAAAAGAGCTGGTGGAAGGTGTCAGAACTTACTGGGGAAAATTCATGAAAGAAACAGTGACGAAACACTGGAAGAGACTGTTATATGAGATAAATTAAGTTGGTAAGGCTGGATTAAAATTTTAGAATTTATCCAAGATGATGTATAAGGTTGGACTTTGGAATTGAATTCGATTGGTGAATTCTAGCCAAAGTGAAATGAAGGGGTTTTGTGTGTGTGTGTGTGTGTGTGTGTGTGTAGGAAAAAGAGAGAGGAACCTGCTGAATGATAGGAGAGGAAGCGAATGTGCTCAGTTTTCTAAAGAGTACCAGTGACCACAAAGCATGTTGTTGTGTGCCGTCCAGTTGATCCTGACTCCAGGTGACCTTATGAAACAGATCAGAGTTCCTTCATATGAGGTTCAAAGCTATCATCTTTAAGGAAGCCATTTGCCAATCTTTCTCCAGCAGAGCAGCTGGGAGGTTCGAACCTCTGACCTTTTCAGTTACCAGCCACCACTTAATCACTTTCAGAAGCTTAGGGATCCAAGCATGGGATGGGTTAAATAGAATGGCATCTGAGTGATTTCAGCTGTTAGTGGTTCATGTTCCTTTGGAAGGAAAGGGGTTTAAAGGAACTATGTGGGTGTCAAATAATGATGGTCAGAAGAGCAAAGTATCTCCATTATTCTCATTGCCAATGAGCCACTCAGATGCTCACTGAAATGCCCAGGGTTTGAAATCACCAGTCCCTCCACAAAAGAAAGATGTGCCCTTCTGCTTAGCTAAGCATTACAGTGTAGGAAGAAACCCTGTGAGTCAGTTGTGTTCCATATGGTTATGCTGAGTCAGAATTGACTTGACAACAATGAATTTAGGGTTGTTTTCACTGCCTTGTATATACTGCTGTTAATGACCGTGAGATAAGATCAGAATGTTACTATGTGTTTATAGGAGTCACGTTGATTGGGATCCTAGCTAAAATGTTATTGAATTTTGCAGGTAAAATGTGTTTGTATATTATTCAAAATTAGTTCAAATTGCATTATTCAAAAGGTTTAAACTTTGGGTTTCATATTATGTTTATTTTATTGTTTATTTTATTTTATTGTTAAACCTATCAAGTGTTATTTTATTGTTAAACCTATCAAGTGAAATATTTTAAACTGAGGATAAGCTTTATTTCATATGATTATTAAACACTGAACCATATAGTATCAAGCATAATGACTCCCTAAAAGTCCTTTAATACTAATGTTAAAAATACTAATATTAATATTCTTGAAAGAGAGATTTTGTCCTATCTACCCTTCTAGTGAAGTCCTGGTGTGGCACTCGTGTTTAATGTACTGGACTTTAAAGTCTGTTAGAACCTCTAGGTTGGTGGTTCAAGCTCACCGGCTGCTCCTCAGAAACCCTATACAGACAGGGTCACTCTGAGTCAGAACTACCTAGGTGGCACTTAACAACAACAACTCTTTTAGTGTGTGCATGTACAAATTGGGTGATCATACATGGTGCCATGCTGGCTACTCTTCTCATTCACTCAGAGTCAAAGAGGAAAAAGAAAGTTGGATAGAAGAATGTTCTTTGGTTGCATCAAGACTATAATTTGTATTACTCTGTCTAAAACCCATGCCTGATGCTCTGTAATAGGTTTATTGGATTTACCACATTCAGGTCTTATTCAGAGTAAATTCTTGTTATCAGAAGATTTTCACTGGAAGCACTTACTTTAATCTTGTGGATTGTCTAAAGATGCTCAAGGCAGCATCCTGACAAGATCAAATTGATACTGTGGAAATTTTGCAAATTAGCAGATCTTCTTTCTCTGCCTCAAGGCAAGCCACACTAAAACTCTTCCAGACAGTTGGGAATTTATCTTAGTCTTAAATATAAATATCTCAGGGGAGGATTTTGCATGACAGTTTTCTTTTCTTTTCTTTTTTGGCTTATCTCTATTTTTCAACAGAGTAAAACTATATATGTTTTATTTTATTGCTTCCTTTTTAAGTTGTAACTTCAGACCACATTCTTTTATCTTCCATTTTCACAGCTGTAGTAATAAAAAGAGCAAATCAAAATATCAAGTAGATGATAGTGTTTAAAATAGTCGCTGGAAGCATTACTCCTTAGGATTTTTAATTTCTTAAATCAAGTCTGAATTAAAATCTTAATACCCAGGTAATTGCCAACATATGCCTCGTCAAAATGATGACTGATATTAATAGGACTTGTATGAGAAGCTTTGTATGTAGATGAACAATGATGCAGTGGAAGTCTTTATTGTGTCATGAGCATGCGTGAATGAAGACATGTTACACTGGGCTCTTGGTTGGTGTTAGGTATCTATTAGACAGTTCCACT